AGGTGAAGGGAGACAGCTCAGCTCAGTGAGTGGAGCACAGGCTGAGGAAAGACTGCAGATTCAATTTGGAGCACCTGGGCGCTGGGCAAAGCCGCTGATGGACCAGCTCCACCAGCTCGGGAATGGGCAAGATGGAGGCAGAGTAAAGACGCCAAGACGACTATGTCCAAGCTCGCACAGGATTACATAAAAACGGACTATAGATTTACATGCTACAAGTTTCAACCCAAATGAGAACACCCTGGACTCACTAGAAGGAAGAAAACTGAGGGAGAATCAGCAATTGGGGAGTTCTGATAAGGGAACTCCTACCCGGAAGCGCCACAGACAGGATAAGCAGAACCCTGCAACTCTGATTGATTGGGGAATGCCAGGCTCTAACACCACAGACAGAGGCTTCCTGCTCATTCAGCTCAGTGAGTAGAACCGAGTCAGGGGAAAAGACTGTGCAAGTGGGCACATGGAGCCCGTGGGTGGGGAAGAAACTCTGGTGATCAGCTAACTGGGGCAGCTGCAAGGCGCACAAACCTTTTACCCATAGGCCTGGAGGCTTGTTCCCAGCATTAATCACTAAGGCGGTCCAGTAAGTTCATAAAGCCCCTGAGATAAAAGGGGGGGGGAGTTAGTCTGAATCAAAACAGACCCATTAGCACTCCCCCAAGTGGTAGGGAAAGACTGTTCAAGGAGAGATGGCTCTGAGTGGGCACAAAGAACCCTGGAGGCCTAAAGGGAGGACTGACAGCCTGCAAAACTGGGGTGTGTGCAGAATTAGGACTCAAGGTGTTACTGAACTGCAGTGGCTGGAATACATGTGAGCCAGTAAGGCACTACCTTGCAAGGCTTACAGTGCTCAAAAAATAAACAAAACCACTGACTGCCTCAACCACAAGCCCAGCTGTAACACTTCTAATGCACCCCACCCTTTGGGGCTGCATCCAAGCATAGAGGGAACCCAGGACATCAGAAGGCTACAAAGATCAACAGGCACCTTCCAGAGACAAGGACTCAATGAGCTACCAGAAGCTGAACACCACAAGAGACCCCTGAGCATCACTGGCAGAGATGACAGACACATTAGAGACTAGAAAACAGGAAATATTGAAACAAAACAAGGCTCAGAATACCCCCCACAACTGAAGTATCTGGAAGTCCCTCTGCCATCCTGAAAGAACATCCAGAAAGAATGCTGGTCAATAATAGCAACACTGTGTCTCAACGAATAGAAAGTATTAGAAAATACACAACAGGGAAAAGAAGACAAACAAATATTCAAGCAAGTCCACAGGGGAAAATTTCACCACAATAAGATCAGAAAAAAACACCAAAGAAATAGAAGAACTGCTCAGCCTACCAAGTAGAGAATTCAGAAACACCATGATAAAAAAAAAAAAAAAGATGAGAAGGAAAAAAATTAAATGTGGCAAGTCATCAAGGAGGTGAAGAATGCAAACAAGGAAATGAATGAAATAAATGCAAAAGAAAAAAAGATATGAGACAAGCAATCAATGAACCGAAGAAAGAAAATGAGACATTAAAAAGGGAAATAGAAGAAATGCAGGCAATGAGAAGGCCACTAGAGGAGATAAAGAATGCTGGGAAAAGTAATGAAAATAGAATACAGGAAATGGAAGAATGAATCAGCACTCTTGAAGACACAGAAACAAAAAAAAAGAAAAAGGAAAAAGAAAGAGAAGTAAAAAAGAAAGGGAATGAAGAAACACTTCAAGAGCTATCTGACACCATTAGGAAGGGAAATATCAGAGTTATGGGTATCCCAGAAGGTGAAGAGAAAGGCCAAGGAATCGAGAAAATATTCACAGAGATAATAGAAGAGAACTCCCTAATATGAAGGAGATGAAAGTGGACATCCAAGAAGCAAGAACACCAAACCACCATGATGACAGGAGAAATACAGCAAGACACATTATAATAGAATTTCCAATAATACAAGACAAGGAAAAGATAATGAGAATGACAAGAGGGAAGAAACAAATAACCTATAAAGGGAAACCGATCCGATGACATCAGACCTCTACGAAGAAACACTATGGGCAAGAAGAGAGTGGAGGGACATACTCAACAAACTCCAAAGCATTAAATGCCAACCAAGAATACTCTACCCTGCAAAGCTCTCCTTCCTCTATGAAGAAAGAATAAGGACATTTTCAGACAAACAGAAACTCCACAATGTCATGACTAAACCCCCACTCCAAAAAATACTACAAGAAACCCTCAAACCAAATCCAACAGAAGGATGAACAAGAACCGTTCAAAATAAGGAATAAAAACACAAAAGGACCAAAATGGCAAAGGTAGGTGCCAGTATTTCAATATTATCTCTAAATGTAATGGATTAAACTCATCAATAAAAAGACACAGAGTCGGCCCTCCCTGGTGGCGCAGCAGGTTAAAGCACAGTACTGAGAATATAAAGCCACTTGCGCATGAGTTCGATTCCCACCTGCCCCGGAGGTGACCTCTCCTGACCTGCCCGCTGCTCCCCTCAGCAGTATACTTCATCGATCTGCCTGTTCTGTGCCCCACTCTGTCTCTGGTGAAGCCTCTCGCCGCCCCTGAGCCTCTGGCCTGTACCCCAGTTCTGTATGCACAAATAAATAAATCTTTAAAAAAAAATACTTGGAAGC